AAAATATGGTTTCAAGCTAAGCCTCAATAGGGGAAGAGCGGCGGGGTGGGGTGGTTTGATTACCTCGTGCAAAAAGCTGGGATGGCGTATGAGTTGTATATCCAGTTGGCTCACCCAGCTCGAAACCCCGATCTTCCAGCTTCATTATGACCTCCGATTTTTGTAAAGTACATCCAATCTTTATGAGCCCAATCCATGACTAGGAAATAGCAAGACACGTAGGTGTAATAGTGCTAATTCCAAGCATTCCAACTATACAGAACCCAACGAAATGGCCCTACGGCTATGAAGAAAGGCAAAGAGAGGACGTACTGAGGTGTCTATGAACCTCCCGTAATGGTCAATCTACCATTGTTTCAGCCCAGCAATTGATTAGGTGCCATTTCCGGAGTTATATGAACTCGACGCCACTCGAAGAGCACGTACACGAAAAAAAAAACACATTGGAAAAAATTCATTTTATTTGTGGTTGCTCTATTCTACTCTATTGGCCTCTAATGTTACTGTTGGAAAGGTACCTACTACCAACACATCAGCAAAGTAAATAAAAAGGTTCCTTCTTTCTTCAAGTAACATACTGACACATGTGTCATTCTCGTAGCTGAGTGAACTTCCAGAAGGCTTTGTTCAATGGAATGATTCCCATATGACTGTAAAACTGGGGAATTTCATAACACCATTGAACTTAAGCTATCTGAATAAACGGTAGCGTGGAATGCTGGTTATAAGTATGGAAATTGAAATCCAAAGACAAACTGCCACCAGATACTCTAATTTCCTTGTGGCTGTCCGAATGACAGCCTTGTTCTTTAGCTCTTCTTCGTTGGACAACACGCGGACTAAGCTGTCCCCACTGATTTTTCTAATGTAGTAGAAGATCGGTCTGATTCACTATGAGAACTTCTAATTTCTAACTTATAAAGCTTCAAAATGCTTACGCTTATGGCAATATCACGAGATTATGTTTTCAACCACTTTTCCATTCTGTGCGAATGCTTTGCAAAAACATTCCGAGTAAGTTAAAATATAGCTATAAATTGTGAACGGACGATAAACAATTGTAATGATTTGTATATA